ATATAATCTTAAAGTATTTTCTCACAAAATACCTATTGATTTCAAAGAGAAAAATAGTAACTCTATAGAGGAGAGGCTTGACAGACCCCACCTGACCCAAGTGGTCAAAGTTAACATCTCAAGGGGCAAATGAGATATGTGAATATCATGCCTCTCCTGATGTGATGAGCTGAGGACACAGTAGCAGCTCTGTGGTATTCCCGCCAAAAATGCACAATCTGAACCTCATTGTGAGGAAACATCAGACAATCCCCAAATGAGGGACACGGTTCTATAAATGGCTTATATTCTTCAAAAATGTCAATGTCGTGAAAAACAAAGACTAAGAACTTATTCTAGCTGAAGGAACCTAAAGAGATACGACCTTAGAGTGCATTCTGGATAAAAAAAAATAATTTGTTTCTTCTTTTGTTATAGAGAACATTGTTAGGAAAACATGAGAGTTGAAACAGATGTGCAGCTTAGATAACAGCATTGTATCAACATTAATTTCCTGATGTTGATAATTTTCTTGGGGCTGTGAAAGAGAATGTTCTTTTTAAGAAATACATGCTCAAATTCTTAGAAATAAAAGGACATCGTATCTGCCACTTATTTTCAACCAGTTCAGGAAAGAAAGTATATTATACACATAAAGAGAAATTGGTAAGCAGATGAGGTCAAGAGTGTATAGGAATTCTTTGTACATATTGTATTTTCTGTAAAAACTACTTTTGTGTAAGTCTGAAATGATTTCAAATAAAGATTAAAAAAAATAGCCTCATCTGCAGACTCAACATCCTTTTGAGTGAATCTTCTTCCCACTTTCCTTTCCCTCACACTGAAGCTTCAGCTGAGTATTTAGGTCCTCACTGTTCCCTGCGCGAAGCAGGAGAATCCTACCTTAATTGGGCAGATGAGGAGAGAGAGAGAGAGAGAGAGAGAGAGAGAGAGAGAGAGAGAGAGAGATATGCAAGTACTCCCTCAGGGTGCCACAGAAAGCCGGGATAAAGTCTTTTGTTCCAATGCCCAAATCAGAGGCCCCTTGGTGACTCCTCTCAGGTTCCTGAGGGAAGGGAGCATGTGGCCTGGGCGGAATGTACTGACCCAGCTCAGCGAGAGCCAAGAGTCAGCCTGTGATGTGAGAAAACCCAGGACTGAGCTCTTCTCTCTCTCTCTCTCTCTCTCTCTCTCTCTCTCTCTCTCTCTCTCTCTCTCTTTCCTATAATCTTTTCAAACTCTGTACCTGGTGAAGGGCATTTCTATCAGGGATAAAACATCTCTCCACAGAAGGAAGTGCTTTCTTCCTCTGGGGACACAGATTTTTTTTTTTTGCGGAGGGGGCAGGGGGCGGGGGGAGGGCACAGAATTGAAGCTCCATAAGTTGAAACCTGTTCACTTTGAGGCCCAGCGCCACTCCCCACCTTCCCACCCTGCCCTCCACCCCCCTGCCACATGTAGTCCAGCCTGTCTAGATCCTTGTATCCAAGTCCAAGCACAAGTCCTGAAGTGCTTAATCCAATGCCGACACAATGGGCAAGGCATGAAAAAATTCCAAGTTGGCCATAAATTACATAAAACTCCCTCCCCTACTTTCTCAATAGTCATTTTGTTCAATTCACTCATCTGAATATCGTGAGCTGCAATGAAGCAGAAAGTGGTTCTGCTATTTATAACTGATCCTGATGGAATGAAATAATGTCTTGATTCCTTATCAGTGGTCTAGAGACAATAACAAGAGAGGCCTAAGGCATGGGGCGGGGGGAAGGGGTAGAGCTCCCTCCCCCTTGGAAACCAGCATCTTCCCACCCCCAGCTTTTAGAATACTGCCTCATGGTTGAAGAGAGGCATAGGAAAGGGAAATAATAGAGTCATTTTCAGTTCTGAGAAAATGATATGTCTCAATCTACCAACATCAGTCAGATATGAGTCGTACAAATGAAACAGGCACAAGACTTCAGGCTGCACTGTGAAAAAGAAACTTTAAATATTTAAGAGCTGGTCAGCCATAATCAGGTCAGAAAATAAAGACACGAAGTCTAAGCCCTTTTTTAAAAAAGAGGCCACAGTCTGTATGTTTCTGTGGAGAAGGTGGAGCTCCATGGCTAGGCCCAAGGTTGTGTATAGATGATAGAGCAGCGGTTCTCAACCTTCCTAATGCCGCGACCCTTTAATACAGTTCCTCATGTTGTGGTGACCCCCAATTTCATTGTTACAAATTGAACATAATTAAAGCGTAGCGGTTAATCACAAAAAAAATATGTAATTATATATGTGTTTTCCGATGGTCTTAGGTGACCCTGTGAAAGAGTCGTTCGAGCCCCAAAGGGGTCGCGACCCACAGGTTGAGAACCGCTGTTATAGAGGATCCAACTTTCTGCCCATCATGTGGCCCATTTGCCCACAAAATGGATTTGTTTCACAAGTACTATATACCCGGTAGCAGCATATTTTTATCAGTCAATTGGGAATCAGGCAATGAATGACTTTATTAAATTTAGGCCATGACTAATACCTGGACAAGCCTGCAAGAGACAATAAAACTAGCTTTCCGATGGGAGTGGGTGTGCCGTCACAATAACTGCGATGGGAATAGCTAGGATCTTTCCATCTGACTGATTCACTCAGGCATCTAGGGCCCAGGACCATGAAAGGGTTTTATTCAAGGCCCCAATGTGGAAAGAGATTACTAACCCTTCTGCATGCCCCCTACTGGGGATCAAGCCTGCAACCCGGGCATGTGCCCTGACCAGGAATCGAACTGTGACCTCCTGGTTCTTAGGCTGATGCTCAAGCACTGAGCCACACCGTCCAGGCTTCATTGATTTTTTTTTTTTTTTTTTTTTTTAGAGAGAGGGGAAGGAAGGAGGGTGGAGAGAGACATTGATGTGAGAGAGACACATCAGTTGGTTGCCTCCCGCACACATCCTGACCAGGGAGGCGATGGAACCTGAAACCCAGGTACATGCCCATGACGGGAATCGAATCCTCAACCTTTCGGTGCATGGGCTAATGCTGTAACTACTTAGCACACTGGATAGGGCTGCATATAGGGCTCCAATATGATAAAACAGTAAGAGAAGTGTTATTTAGTAGGTGGAAGTGGTGATGGGATGGCAGAGAGTCTTCCAGGCCCCTAAGGGAAGTGGAATTGGGCTGAAATGATGTTGTGTCTTAGATTGAAATCTGTGTGGTTTCTCGGGACCCCATGTGGCACTTGCCCTCCTGTGCACAGAACCTGCTCCAGGCAGCCTTTGGACAACATAACCTCTGTTAACGGCAGCTGAAATCTGGGCTCACGCAGATTCTTTTTATTTTTTTTAAAATGTACCTTTACTGTTGAAAGTATTACTGATGCCCCCCCTTTTTTTTCCCATTGACCCCCTCCACCCAGACCTTCACCACACTATTGTCTGTGTCTATGGGTTATGCATATAAGTTCCCCAGCTATCATGCAGATTCTTTTTTTAAAATTGTTTTATTGCTTAAAGTATTACAAAGAGTATTACATATGTCTCCTTTTCCCCCCCGCCCTTGACAATCCCCTGGCCTCTCCTACCCCCCAGTGTCTTATGTCCATTGGTTATGCTTATATATCATGCAGATTCTTAAGTGGGATAGAAAACAGTCAGAAGAGTGGTTATTTTTTTAAATGCTTTTATTGGTTTTAGAGAGAGATAGAGATAGAAACATCGATGAGAGAGAAACATTTTCCTGCTGCCTCCTGCACGACCCCAACTGAGGATCGAGGCTGCAACCTGGGCACGTGCCCTAACCAGGAATCGAACCAGGGTCCTCTTGGTACATGGGTCGACACTCAACCACTAAGCCACACTGGCTGGGCAGAATCATGGTTGTTATGTAAGTGACCTTGTCAGAACTTTATCTTCAAATAGTATTTATTAAACACTCTCTTGCTTTAATAGGGTTCTCGTTCCCTTTATCATTTACAGCTGTGTTTCTCAGCAAGCGTAGGGCTTCCTTCCTAAAATGGACCAGGACCTTCATTTCCTGAAGCCATATTACTAGGCAGAGTTTTCCAAGGAAGGAAAGTGTTGATTCAGCCACAGACCACCAAGCAAATGTCTGGCTGCTCTCTGGGACTTTGTGTCTGGCTCTCATTCCTCAGGCTGGCTCTGCCTGGCTGGCCTGGGCAAAGCCTACTGACGTTTCCATATGACACGTGCAACTCTCTAGCTTCTAATTTCCTGGCTCCTGCTGGTGCTCAGAAGCCCGGGGGGCGGGGGGGGGGGGGAACTGGAGGGGGAACAGGGGCAGGAGGGTGCTGGCAGGAGCCTGGCCCTGTTGCAAACCCTCAGAAGGCTTCTCTGTGTGTCTCCTCCCACGTGGCCGCTGCTTCCTCCATCGCTACCCCACAGGGAAGTGAAAACAGCTCATTATCTATTTATTTTACAAAGTGCTGCCCTTGGTGTTGAAATCACCTCAGGGCACAGAGCATGCCATTTAAAACAATTAAAAGACATAAAACAGAATTGGTGACGGCCAGCAGTTCTTTAAAATCAGCAATAAAATGCCAGTTTGAGGAGCCCTGGCTCACCCTGTGCAGATCACCTGCGGGGCTCTGTCCATGGGAGGGGCAGGGAGTGCTTCTCCTCCAGCCTCCGTCGGAGCTGCTTGCTCACCAAGCCCGGGTGCTCCCACCACCTTCCCTCAGACTTTCCCCTCTGAGTCGTGATGACTCAGCTCAGGCCTGATCCACTCATTCGTTTTCTTCCTGTGTCGGGCTGGGGAGGCTTCAGGAGGCCTGCAGCGTCCTGACGAGGGACAGCGGGGCAGGTTTGTTCAGGTGCCTCACATGGGGGGCCAGCTTAGCTGTTAGCCTGTCACTGCGTGGGCCTAGACCAGTGATGGCGAACCTTTTGAGCTCGGCGTGTCAGCATTTTGAAAAACCCTAACTTAACTCTGGTGCCGTGTCACATATAGAAATTTTTTGATATGTGCAACCATAGTAAAACAAAGACTTATATTTTTGATATTTATTTTATATATTTAAATGCCATTTGACAAAGAAAAATCAACCAAAAAAATGAGTTCGCATGTCATAGGTTCGCCATCACTGGCTAATCGGTAGTTGGTGAGCAAATAATAATATTGACAGTGACAATATTAATAACAAGAGCTGAGCCTGACTGGGGCTTCTGCTATGTGAAGGGAGGAATGCTGACTCATTGCTAAGGTGTCTTCAGCTTCGAAAGATGTGTGGTTAGAACCAGAGGGGCGGAAACCAGGCAAAAGCAGCCACGTTACCCAGGCTGGAAGAGAACTTGGGAAAAGGAAAGAACCATGTGGAAGTCATCTCAGCTTGAATGAGGGTCGAGGTGCAGCTGGGGCTCCTGCAGCGAGAAATAGAGACATGCTAATTGCAGGTAGGTTTGCCCAAAGGTCTGAGCTATGACCCCAGCTTCTTCAGCTACTTCTCTAGAGGTTAGTGCCCACACGATAAAATGGAGGAATTGGCCTGATCCCCTTTTAATGCTGTGATATAGGTTTCTGAGTTTCAGAACTCAATCATCAGCAAGCACTTATTGACCACGTTCTACCTGCCAGGCACCTGCAGAGATCTCTCAGGGAAAAACACATCTTCTCATCTCCCAGTATCACACAGGTTTCTCTCCAGTGGCTGCAGCCCATTTGCCTCTTCAAAGTAGGAGAGGGTAGGGGTGATGGGGGGCCAAGGGGGTTAGGGAGAAGAAGCATCCTTTGGCTCAATTATGCATTTATTGAGCACCAACCTTCCCCTTGCTCCGAGATGGCGGTTGACATTCAGTAGCTGCTCCATTTGGTCCCCATGCAACCATGTTCTGAAATTCCCTGGTCATGGCTCCACCTGAGGAGCAGCCCTGCCTCTCTCTGGCAGGAACGCGGTTTCCCTTCTAGTCCCGCTCTGGCCTTCCACCTTCCATCCTGCTGAGTGTCCCTCTGGCTGCGTTCATTGCTCCCTACGCCGGGGTTATTCAGCTGTTTTCCTCTGTCCCACAGGCTCTCTGTCACAGGAGGTCACAGCCCAATTCAAATCCCCTCTCCCTCTCCCTCTGTCCTATGCGCTGAGCAGACGTGCATTTGGCATTTCAGCCACGGAAGTTCCCTGACCCCCTTCGCTCTTTCCTCAAATGGAAACCTCAATGGCTTTTGCAGAAATTTTTATGTTCTCTGCCACGTAAATGCAACAGCTATTTGCTGAATACTTATATATCGTAAGTTTAGTTTTGTCATGCCCTCAAGACACTTATCATGTGCTTGGTGAAATAAACAGACACACGTGAAACCGTTTGAACACAGCAAAGCACTGTGATGTTGTCAGTATTACCATCAGGTGCCGAAATGTGTGGCACTGGAATCCCACCACTAACACTAGCAGTACATGCTGACCTGCCCGAGCACTTAGGCACATTTCATTTCAACCTCAGACTTGGCCTATGAGTTTGGTTTCATTGTCCCCATTTTACTCTTCAGCGAACTGAGTCACAGAGAATTTAACTGCCTACGGTCTCATGGATGGTGAGACAACACAGCTCTTTCCAACTCAAAAGTATGTACATTTAAAACCCTGACTCCACCGCTGCTCTCTCAGCTCCATGAAGGCGGGGTCTAGGTGCTTTGCTCATGGCTGTTTTCCAGGACCATTTCCCCAATGTTTACCATATTAATGCTCATTTAAGAAAAAAAAATATATAGGGTGTCCCAAAAATGTGTACACACGCTTTGAATAATTATAAAGGTGGTATTTGTTAAAATATACTAGTATTTCATTTTCACAATTGAGCTATCAGCTGTTACAGTGTGTATACATTTTTTGGCACACCCTATAGACCTCTATCTATCTATCTATCTATCTGCCTATATTCACACACATACATACATATTGCATGCTGCACCTCTTATCAACAGAAAGGACAAAATGGCCTGTTTCCTAGAGTCAGAGGTTGGAGGAAATGTTGAGGAGTTTGGATTGTGAAAATCAAGTTTAGCAGTCAGTAGCCTGGGGGATGAACTTGATGATCAAAGAGTGGGGGAGAAAGTAAAACAAAACAAAACAAAACAAAACAAAACACAATAATTACAGAACTCACCTCAACAACCAACGCCCTCTTCTCGCAGCCTCAGCTCCAGCTCTTGGCCCTGCCGCGTTCCCTGTGCTGCAGCTCCGTTCTGTGAGGCGGGTCAGCCTGGTTTGTGTTACTTACGTCTCAGCCTCTCACAGAACTTGGGCCTTGGGAGGGCAGGTGCTGGTTCCCATACTTTGTATTCCCCTGTGGGTTGGTCCCACAGAGCAAATGTTTGTTGAAATGAGTTGAAATTAGAAAGTGTATCATCTCACTCAGCTTATGTTTTTAGCCCCCCCTCCTCTTTTTTCCTGTTTCTTATGTGATGCATTTTTTTTTTTTGAGATGGTTAATTAGAAAAAATATTTTTTCATTGATTTCAGAGAGGAAGGAAGAGGGAGAGAGAGATAGAAATATCAATAATGAAAGAGAACCATTGATTGGCTGCCTCCTGCATGCCCCCTTCTGGGGATTGAGCTGCAACCTGGGCATGTGCCCTTGACTGGAATTGAAACTGGGACCCTTCAGTCAGCAGGCCGGCGCTCTATCCGCTGAGCCAAACCAGTTAGAGCTTATGTGATGCTTTTTGGGAAGTAGCAATCATATAGGAAAAAAGAACCGTAGAGAAATCCCTGGGTAGTTATACAGGGAAAAGAATGTGGTGCTACTTTTTTTTTTTTTTTTTAAAGCCCTGGGTCTTATTTGTCCCAGATTGAATTCCCATCTTAGACAAAAGGAGGGAAAGAAATGAAGCTGCATCTCCCCATCAGTCCGCCGAGGGTCTGCCTTAAAGAGGATTGAGGGGGAAATGTTCAATTTTATTGATTTGTTCTGCTGGGTCCTTCTCTCCAGGACACTGTTTAGTGTGCCGATCGGAGTGGAAAATGAAGAAGAGATGAGCAATCAGCTGTGAAAAGCGTTAATGGACCCAGCACCCCTTTGGGAATGAGGCAAGGCTCTTGCTGGCTCCCAGGACCAACTCTCTTCCAGTTCAGCGGGCTTTGTTTCTGTGAAGGGAATGTAACTCCCTCAGGTGGCCCCGGATGGAGGAATATTACAGCCTGCACAGCAGTGGGCTGCAGCTTCTTTCAGGAGAATGGAGGCCACTGTCCTGGAAGGGGCCCTAGCTCCTTGGGGGCCTTTGCAAATCTTAAACTTCCCAGGTGGCCAGGAGAGTGGGTCACATGACCCCATAACAGTGATGCTGTGATTATCTGGGGGCTTCCAAGTAATGGAGCTGGATGTTCTTGGAGTGGAGGGGACTGTGGGTTGGTGTGGATCCTGACCCAGGGGCTTGGGACCAACACAGTTTCTTTGTGGGAGCAGCTGGGTGGACAGGCCTCTTTTTAAGCTTTTTAAGCTCTTTGAGAGTTAAGAAATGAAGCGTTGGATTTGGGCTGGGAGGTTGGGAAAGGATGTCTACCTAACAGTAATGAGGAGGAGAGGGTGGGGCTGATGGGGGGCTGATGGGGGTGGGGAGAAGAGCAGGCATTCTGCATTTACTCTATTGCAGACCATGGGCTAAGTACCTTACTTATTAATGTGTGAGAGCGATGCCTTCACTCCCTCACACTAACAAATATCTCGTCTTTGTTAATTAGCTTCTTCCTCTCTCCTACCCTCTCAGGGTTTTCCTGGCTCCTGAGCTTTTAAAGATAATAGAGTCAGGGGAATGCAGTGGTTCTCAACCTTCTGGCCCTTTAAATACAGTTCCTCATGCTGTGACCCAACCATAAAATTATTTTCGTTGCTACTTCATAACTGTAATGTTGCTACTGTTATGAATCGTCATGTAAATATCTGATATGCAGGATGGTCTTAAGCGGCTCCTGTGAAAGGGTTGTTCGACCACCAAAGGGGTTGCGACCCACAGGTTGAGAACCGCTGGGTTATAGAGAGGAAGGATCAGAGAGGCAGAGGCCGGGGGAAGGAAAACATTCCTTTTGCTGGGCCAGCTCTGAAGCTCTCCTTTGTTGTGGACAACGATGGCACTGGACAAAGTGTACATGAAAATTTTAAAAATGAAGTGGCCGTAGTTGGCTCAATGGATAGAGCATTGGCCCAAGGACTGAAGGGTCTCAGGTTTGATTCTGGTCAAGGGCATGTACCTCAGTTGCAGGCTTGATCCTTGGCTCTGGTCTGGCACATGTGGGAGGCAGCCAATCGATGTGTCTTTCTCACGTTGTTTTTTCTCTCTGTCTTCCCTCCCCGCCATTCTCTCTCTACAAAAAAAAAAAAAAAAAAAAAAAAAGTCAGTAGAAGAATATTCCTGGGTGAGACTTAACAAAAATAAAAAATGAAGTGAGAGAAACTTACTTAGTGAGCCAAGTCAACCTACATAACAAATATGAGATGGAGAGGAATGAAAGCAGAAAAAGAATTTGTGGGTTGGGTGTTAGGTAGGGTTTCTAGACAAAATACAGGACACCAGTTGCATTTGAATTTCAGATAAACAACAAATATGACTCAAATATTACATGGGAAATATTTATACTAAATATGATTTGTCATGTATCTGGAAGTCAAATGTAACTGGGCATTCTTTCTGTTCTTTGTTTTGTTTTATTTTGCTAAATCTGGCTAGTCTAGTGTTGGGGAGAGTTTTGTGAGCTTTCTCGAATTGAGCTTTAGGAGCAGTGGGTGCGGGGAGGTAGAGGAATTGGGCAGAAGAGGAAAAGATAGTTTAAGAAATGTTGCTGTGATTCATAAATCGGATCCCCTTTTATGTTCTTCTAGTAAGATTAGAAAACTTTATAAATTACATTTGGTTTTAGAAGTATCTTCAAATGTAACTACATACTGAGACTGGGTGATATGAGATCCTGGCTTATATCTGGAATACCTATACCATAGCTCTATAATCCTTACAATTATGCAAGGTGGGCAGCATGAGGAACTTAAGGCTCAGAGAGGTTAAATAACTTCCTCAGGGTCACACCGCAGGTAGTGGAGCTGGCTTCCAGGCCTAAATTCATTCGATAACCTGTGCTTAAAACCTGAAGCCTAAACTAAACACTACTGGGATAGACTTGTAAATAATGCTTGAATACAACATGCTTAATGTGTGTAGAATAGACCCATGGATTTTAACATTCCTTTTTTAGTTAAAGAAACAGTTATCTAGAGAAGATAAGGTTGACACAGGTAGTTATTGGTAGAGCCACAGCTAGAACCTGGGCCCACTGAAGGGACATTGGGGCTGAGTGCTCCAGGGGACAGCTATAAAAGAGTAAAGTCGACAGCCTCTTTATTGTCGGCCTCCGCCTGCCTCAATTCACCCCTCCTCTCCCCCTTCCCACCTCTCCCTCTCCAAGCATCGAGCTGTGTCCCATTTCTATGTATTCTTGCTCTGAGCCAGCTGTCCTAATCCCTGCAAGGTGTTAGCTGATAAGAGCCTGTGGGAGAATCATAAAATGTTAGCCCAGCATAGGATATTAAAGGCTGTAGAAGTCTGAATGCAGGTGTGTGCAGAGACAGAAATTGCAGGAGATACCAGAGAGCCTGGCCACCAGGCAGCCTTGCAAGATGGCATTTACCTTGGGACATTCACTATGGTCCAACATCCGGTCTGTTCCCGGCCTTGTAGTCCAGACACTCTGTCTTCTCATGCCCCACGTCTGACTGGATCCAGCAATGATGACTCATAGTAACAGAGCTCAAAGAAAGAAGTACAGCATTGAAAGGCAATTTATTAATGCACAGTAGGACATACACCTGCTAAGCTGACTTTCACCTGACTGGTGTCTTCTCTCGCGTGGGATGAGGAGCTACGTGGAGAATCAGGTAGCACCTGGTTCGTACAGGGTTCCTGGAAACAGTGCCGGGGGGAGTAAGGCAGAGAAGACCGGAGGTTAGTGGCATTGAGTGCTGAAGTCTGAGGCTCTCACCTCCATGATGGCAAGGTGCATGTGCCCATCAAACTAGGCATACCCGCTTCTAGGATGTGGCAGGTGTCAGATGAGGTCCAGGAAAGAAACTAGCGACACACTCAAAAGGGAGTAGTGATTGGAGAGAAGGGAAAGAAGGGATTTCAAAACCAGCAGGGGAGCTCTAACCGGTTTGGCTCAGTGGATAGGACGTCGGCCTGCGAACTGAAAGGTCCCAGGTTCGATTCCGGTCAAGGGCATGTACCTTGGTTACGGGCATATCCCCAGTAGCTCATCGATGTCTCTCTCTCATTGATGTTTCTAACTCTCTATCCTTCTCCCTTTCTCTTTGTAAAAAAAATATATTAAAAAAAAAAACAGCAGGGGATAACGGATCATCCCCCCCCCACCTCCCACCCCCTACCCCCACACCCCCCAACTAGTCCCAAACTAGAAACCCTGCGTTTACCATCTCCAGGGCAAAAGGAGGAAGCCGTTACCAGAATCTGGAGGGGGCTTTAGCTGTGGCTCTGAGAGAGGGCGTTTCCTCCCTGTTCATAGGTCGACACTCAATCCCAGAGCCATGCCAGCTGGGCAGGTTTGTGTTGTTTTAAGCCACTGCATTTGTACTAAATTCTAACAAAGTCATGTGTTGTATAAAAAACTAACACAGAGGATAGTTTGGTGATAGAGGCACCTTTCCAACATCCTTCCATCACAGGTTACATGAAGACTTCTTAGGATGGCTTTTTTGCCACCCAATTTTGGTCTCTACACAGACACCAATGAACTGGAAATCCTGACCATAAAAACGACTGTGGTCCCACGACATGCACAGCTGATGCTAAAGTGGGTTTCTGCCCTGATAAGCATGTTCCCAGGCCTTGTGCTTCACTGCTCACCAGGCCCGTCATGGTTGGGGCCTCCTGAGCTGAGAGCCCTGGATTCCCAGAAAGGCCAATGAAAGAGGCAGGCAGAGGTGGTGGGAGGCCTCTCCGGCAGGGATCAGTGGCAAAAAAACAACAAGGAGTGACACAAAGGACACCTTTCCTTTTGGCGCGCCATCGCAAAAGTAGCCCAAGGAAAGGGCTTTGAATCTGCTCTGAACTGGAGCACTTGAGGGAAAATAATCCATGACATGAACTTCATGTCATTTAGCAGATTTCCTCAGTTCCAGTCTCCGTCCCTGAGGAGACCCCAATAGGCTGTCAGGAAGAGGTCCTTCCCTGTAAAGCTGTTTCCTTTCCTCTTCAATGAAGTCTTAGACACTAAATGGAAATGAAGAGGACGCTGCTCAAACCGTGCCTTCAGAATGAAATGGCATATGAAACGGCTCAAATACATTTTAGAGACAGCCCCTCCTGTCAGAAATCAATATGGCCGCCACGTTCTACAACGTGCCTGCTCATAAAGTGGAAACGGCTCGAACCCTCCATTTAACATGTTCACAGTTGATATCAAATGTCAAGATTTTTATATCTGCTGTTGCCCATTTAGGACCAAGTTATAAATCTGAAGTCTCTCCTGAGCATATGAGCCTGACAGTGTTCGATAAAAGCTTTTATAATCAAGTTCGATAAAGAATCCAAAATCTCCGTCTTGTGATTTTTAGCTTACAACGATCTTCGTAAAGAACATTTCCTGCCTTGATGTTTATCAATATTTATCATTTTAAAAAAGGAATAAGTAGAAAACTATGTAGACTCTTACCTTGTGGATGGAAATTACAGTTAAGAAAGGAGTCAGCGAGTGAGATGTCTTCATGGTGGCATTTTTAAAGAGTGACCATGAAAAGTCAGAAGATGGAATCTTGAGTGACAGCCATGGTCTGCTACGGATGGCGTTCACAGGAAACAGAAGACAGGCCATCAGCTGCAAGTCTTAAAAAAGACTCCCCTTTGCTCATTTGCATTTAATCCAGTCCTGAGACGGACAGCCATGCACCCATCCTTCTAAATTAGCTTTAGGTAGAAAAAAGGCACCGGTTTCACCTCCACGCCTGTTTTGGGTGAGCTCCTCTCTCTAGAATGAGAAACTTAAAGAAAATTAATAAAAGAGATATTTTTATTCAAACAAGTGAACTCTGAGTTCTCTGTGTTTTCCTATCTGTAAAAAGAGACGGAATACATAGTATATATACACATACATATGTATATACACACATAAATGTACACACATTGTACATACATATGCACTATGTAACATGTACTAAAGTTAGGAAGATAAGTGTGGGGAATAGTAAACAACAAATTCAGAACAGCCATTACCTCTGAGGAGGAGAAAGGGGGGTGTGATGAAGGTGATACACAGGGAGCTCCAGGTGAATGAGTAATGTCTTATCTTTTCATACTGGGTAGTTCACAAATGCTCATGATATTATGGTCGATGCCTTTTGTAGTTGCACATCTGCCACATTTTATAATTAAAACAAAATGTGTTAATTTAATTTTTTATTTTGAGAGCATGTTTATTAAAGTGGGAAGGGTTTAGCACAACAGGAGAGAGAGTAGGCGGGGCTGCCTGCTCACTGAGAAGTCAGAGAAAAGGGGCCTTGGAGACAGGGTCAGGGGTTAGCCCCAGACAGCTGCTGCTGCCCATTGCTCCCCTGGTTGCAAGTCTCATGGAGTCCCTCAGAGTCTAGGAGATGTAAGCCTGAGAGGGAAGAAGCGGGGAGAGGGAAAGGTATGGGTGTGCTCCTGGGAGGGAGAACAGGCTAAAACAAATTTCAAAGGAAGGTTTAGGGTTGTGTGATGGTTAATTTAATGTGTCAACTTGACTGGCCTAAGGGATGCCCAGATAGCTTTACCAACGTTATTTCTTGGTGTGTCTGCGAGGGTGTTTCTGGAAGAAATTATCATTTGAGTCAGCAGACAGAGTGACGAGTCTCTCTTCACCAATGTGGGAAGGCATTGTCCAATCCACTGGGTACCAAGATGGAACAAATAGGTCCAGGAAGGGCAAATATTCTCTGTCTTGAGCTGGGATGTTCATCTTGTCCTACCCTTGGACATTGGGGCTCCCGGTTCTCGGGCCGTGGGACTCTGGACTTACACCAGTGGCTCTCTGGTTCTTAGGCCGTCAGACTCAGACTGAATTATACACCCACTTTCCTGGTGCTCTGGCTGGTAGAGGGCTGATTGTTGGGCTTCTTGGCCTCCATAACCAATTCCTATAGTAAATCTCCTCTCCTGTCTGTCTATAAATGTTCTATTGATTCTGTTTCTCTCTGACTAATTGGGTCATCAGAGAAATGGGAAACTGAGGGAACAGTCCAAATGCCATTCAAATTCAACATGACTTTTTCACCCTCCTCAAAGTTGCTCTCCTGACTCCACAGTGAAATGGGGACCAGAGCATGTTAGTGACAAGGGACAGCAGTCTGGTTCAGGAACTTTGCCAGCTGTCAGTTAAATACCCATTATTAAATATTAAATTATATACATTTATAATTAAATGAAGCATATAAAAAACAAAGCTAACACTTATAATTTATCACATCTTAATTCCTTTACTACACTTTACTACTATCTATGTTCTTAAAGTTCTTTAAAGCTGTTGTATCTGCATGGTAGATATTCTATATAATACACATATCTTCACAACTCTGCATTCGGTGACATCATGTTCATAGCTTGAAATTGACCATGGTAGGAGTATTTACACCATGAAAATTGGCAGATGCTACTAATCAGGGCTTCCTGCTCCCCTCCTCTCCTCCCCCTTGAGAGCCTGTGGTTAAACATTCACCAGCATACCACTGGGCAGACCACCAACTTCTTCAACAGCTTCTGTGCTCTAGCTTCATTCTGAACATTCTGAATTCTCAATCACCAAGAAAAACTCATAATTCATTCCCCCACTAGGTTTGGATGACATCTACAAAACCAACTGAGCAGATTCTTGAGGTATTAGGCAATTGGGGAGCATTTTCAGGAGTGAGATGGTCTGTACAGCCCCAGACCCCAAAGTATCAAATGTCAATATCCTTCATAGTCCCCTGCAAGGGTGTATTTGAATGTTGGGATATTCCAATCCTGGATATCACATTGTCAGGCCGGAGGCTTCTGCTTGGCTATCCCTGTTGTAATTCTCTTTCCTTTTTCAGTCCTCTCTTGTCTTCAGCTGGTGACTCCCTGGAGGCTGGGGACCTTGATTTATATGTAATATGAGGAACTTTCACTGCAGTGGGAAGCTGGCCTGCAGAAACTCTGGGATGTGTAGGCTTGCACATATGCCCAATGGCCAAATTCCCTGCTCGGTTGAAAGTGTGCCCTTTGGTGGGCAGCTCCTAGGCACCCAGAGTTTATCCAGGGGCAAGCAGCAGCCAGTTGAAGAATTATTGCCCTGCCCCACCCCGCAGTAATGTCTGGGCCTGGGCCTCCAGCCCCATGAGCACCAGTTAGTCAAAGAGCAGGATCAGTTCTAAAGGGGTTGGAGGGAGGTTGGAGAACTGCTGCCAAGAACCGTCAAAAAGAAGTTATCTTTTGAAGTGGATCTTGATTTTTTTTCCTCCCTCCCAGTTCCTGTTCAAGCCATTTCAAGAATAAATTCCATGAAAGATTGAAAACAACCTAAATATCCATTATTAAAGAATAGATTAAGTATATTTATTTTGAGAAAGAAAATTATGAATCAATGAAAAATTCTTTCCTTTTGAATATTGTATCATATTGTATCATGTCCATGTAATAATTGTTAGAAACATAACATTAAAAGAACCCACAAAACCGTAAATGCTCATGTTGTAGAGATCACATAGCTCATGAAAAATCTACTTTCTATTATTTAACCCTGCATTAAAAAAAGAAAAAGCAAGAAACTGTTTTTGGTAGAACTAACTGTTCCACTTGTGGTTTAGAGTAAAATTTCCAGTGATAGCCAATAGATTCAAAAAGTGCTGTAGCTCAAACAATTAGACGAGAAGGTAATGTACTCCAGGAAACTGTGAGCCGGCTCAAAAAGTGGCTCTGGGGAAGACAGAGACACTAAAGTGAAAAAGACAGGCGAAGAGGCCTGGCGGGGGAGTTCAGTTGGTTAGTGCATTGTCCTGACAGGCCAAGGTTTCAAGTTCAATCCCAGTTAGGCACATATAAGAATGCATAAATAAATGGAACAACAAATTGATGTTTTATTTTCCTCTCTCTCACATAAAAAGAAATATTTTTAAACAAAGAGGAAAAAAAGATATTATGCCATGGAATGTGAAAGTGGAAAAATGTCTTCTATCTACCTTAATATGTTATTTTATACAGCATGTGATTTTAAAGATGTACGTGCAACTAAAGTATTGTATAGTTTAAGTTAAAAATCATGGTTTAGAAGACCAATGACATAGAGAAAAGGCCATGACAGTGATAAATCAGTATAAAAATGTTTGGTCTATAAAAACTATTTAACTGTAAAAATAAATACATATGAAAAAAATTAAATGTATATCGATCTGGAAGGAAAGTCACCCCAGAGAATCAATGGTTGTATTTGTACAGGTGACTTTTATTTTCTTCTTTATATATTTTTATAATTTCCAAAGTTTATACAATGAATAGTCATTACTTTCCTGACAAAAATTAACCATACTTTAAAAACAAACAGTAACATATCTGCCAGTAGTCCCTGCCTCCACTGTGCCCCACTGTGGATTCTCCCAAGTACATTAGTGTAGAATAGAAATGAAAAAATTGCTAACTTTACTGAGTGTGAATCATATTCCCAGCACTGTACCGAGCACTCTGCCTGAATTATTTTAGCTAATAACCACCCAGTCCTATGAGGTTGGCATGAATACTCTGATTTTGAAGGTGAGGAAACCAAGGATCAGAGTGGGTTAGTTCTTTGCCTCAGTTACACAGCTAGTGAGGGGGGTGCTGGCATTTATACCCAGGCAGACTGACTACAGAGGGTCACACTCTCAGCCCTGGCTCTTCGCTGTGCTGCCTCCCAGCACTCCAATGGCCGTCTGGCAGGATTTCAGAAGCTGTCGGGCTAGCCCATGGGAAAATTCCTAGCCAACTGTCTTAAGCGGTTCTGCACAAGCTCATACTTAAAGAAGCTGGACATTTTAATGGAGTGAAGCAAGTTTCTTACCTGGAACTGTAATGATTGCCTGAGTAAAGGGATGAGATGAGCTTGTTGAATAAAATGTATTTCCCTACTGCTTTAGGCAGAAAGACTTCTAAAGGAAGGGGACAGTTGGTGTGCTGGTTTTAAACAGAGCCTGTGAGGATGTGTCTGGGGCTACCTAGGTGGCAGGAAGAGACCAAGATTATGAAGCCTAACCAAACCAGGGATGGAGCAGCAAATGAGGGGGTTTTGAGTAGTCAGGGGCAGCAGAATCAAGCAAAGGGGTAAAAAACCAGCTTTGTCCAGCAGAGGAAGAGTGATTAGCACTTATTGAGCATGTACTGTGTCCTGGAGATTCATATTTGCTCCTTCACTTCATCCTCCCAACAATGCTCTTTGATAGGTGTCCTTATCTCTAGTTGATGGTTGGAAAAGGGGAGGTTGAGAGAGATGAACCCGTCTGAGCTCACACACCTATTGAGTGGTCAGGCCAAGATTCAAATTCTGGGCTTCCTGGCTCTAAAGTGTTTCCAGTGATATCAGCCAGTGTTCCAGGAGGAAATGCTCAAATGGAGCAATTAAGAAGCATTTAACAAAGGGGCTGATTACAAAGCTGAGCAGGTGATGGGCTTTAGGACATTATATCCCACAATATAGTACCTTGGCATATTGAATATCTTAAGCTGAAGGATATTTTTCCATTGCTTTTCAGAGAGAGTGGAATGG